GTTGTTTATGAGTTTAACATTAACCATGTGTGGTTATTTATGAGCAATCATGAAAGTAATCAGGCGATTCAAGTAAGTTAAATTACGAAGAACAAATATGGGGTGGCCTGTAAGATCGGCAGTTGGCCAGCGTTGATTCAATGGGGCCTGACTCAGCTGATGAGACACCTACGTCGGAACTGGCCCAGACTTTTGCTTGTACTGAATAAATGCTGCTGAAATGACGCACTCCCAGAAGGCCGTGAGGCTGATCGATTGTTTATCGGTAATATTTTGTAAATACTTTACATTACTTCCAAAACCTAAAGTCCTCAGCCACCAGATTCGTTTTCAAAAGTTCCCCTTTCTCAGCACTGGATATGAAGATGACGGAATAAATCTGTAGTGTAATAGTGTTGCCTGGCGCACAGCAGCGGCAGCTGTGGTGGACAGACGGCGCACACGCCGGTGAGGGCGTGAGCACGGGGTGTGGGCAGAGCGGAGGAACTGGGGCAAGGGTCACGGAGGACCCCGTCTGGAGGCCCCTGGAACCTGCCGGCGGGTTCGAGAAGGGGGCGCGGTCAGGGCGGAGCCAGGCCGCGCTGCCGGGAGCATAAAAGGAGCCGAGAGCGGGGGGCTCAGGGCTGCCGGTGCTGGGAGTGGACTCGTCTCGTCGTCTCGTCGTCGTCGTCGCTAAACGTCTCCGCTAGACATCGCGCTACGAAGGAGAGTAGTTGGCTATCTCAGTCAGCGCCATCAGTGTTAGATGGCCGGTGTTGTGTACAGGCTGGGCTACTGTGGAGAGTGTGTGGACGAGACTACGGAAGTTGACACTACGAATGAAAAAAAAATTACATTCTAATGGCGTTATTATTGGTGCGGTGATGTGTGGCGCAGTGGTTCGCGCACTGGGCTATGAATCCGACCACCTTTAGTTCGATTCCTGGCCAAGGCTTACATCAGTGGCAAGAAATATCTGAACCCAGACCCGTGCTGGTCACAAACCTGACCATCTTGGGGAAGTAGAGGCCAAGGGAACCCATGAATGATACTGCACAAGAGTCCTTCATCCAGCAGTGGATTGACAATGGGGATGTGAATTCATTTTCATCAGCTATCCACTGCTGGAAGAAGGCTTCCAAAAACTGCTGCCAATTATCACGATCCCGCAATCCATGGAGCACCTGTACACAGCAACTGATCTCATCGCTCCATCTCCACGGTGTACGTCCTCCGTTTTAGTTCCATACATCAAATACATATTTCAGTATCATTATTCTGATTGTCACTGACACGCCTGCAAACAAAGATTAATATCCCCCACGTGGACTTTAACACTGTTGGGGCAAGTGCTATTAGCGAGCACCGATGAAGGCCGGCACGGCACGAGAGCGAGTGGCTAATAACACACCCGGCAGCCTTGGTCTCCCCAGTGCTGATTCTCACACACTGCCAATAGGCACTCATTTAATGTTGAGTTGACAGAGGGAAGGCTCCAGGAACAGTTCATATATTCGTCACCGATGTTGGCCATGAGCTCGGCATTTCAGTGCAGCGTGCTAACCACTGCACTAATGCTCAAAATATATAAAGACAAAGATACCCCGTATAGCCTTAACATACTGTTGGGACAAGTGCTGTTAGCGAATAGCACCTATGAAGGCTGCACGGTATACGAGGGGGTGGGTGGCCAATACCACGCCCGGCCGCCTTTGTCTCCCAAGTGGCGATATTTCCACATCGCATCAGGTACTCATTTTAGGCTGAGTCGATCCAGTGGAGGCCCAGGACCGGTTCGGATAATCGTCACTGGTGCTGGCCGTGAGCGGCAATCGAACTAGGATCCCACTGGTTCGTAGCACAGCGTGCTAACCGCTACACTACCGCTCAAAACATACACACACAGACACATACGCATTTATATCAGTGTCGGGAAATATTTTGCAATTTAGGCAAAACATATTTCCAAGCAGCTGGTGTTATTTGAAGGATAATTTATTTTCTGATCTTCCAGCCAGATTTCAAAACATTCGAGCAGAGCCGAGCCACTGAAGGCAGAATCCAGAGGCGAATTTTTCTGCATACCGAAGCATTTTTTTAATATCCAAAATCATATCAGGGGGCAGCGCTGACCTCAACTCCTCATGTCCTCTTACCCGGTGGGCGCGGTGGGGTTATCATTATCTGGGCAGACGGTGCGAGATGTTCTCATCCGCAGAAACACGTGGCTGGGTCTGACGCGACGCGCCTGGGTTTCGGCACAGGACCAAGTTTCTCCTGCGCCAGCGAACGCATAGCTCCACACACACCACACGCACCACACCACGCTCCACACGCACCACACCACGCACCACACCACGCACCACACACCACACGCACCACACGCACCACACCACGCTCCACACGCACCACGCACCACACCACGCGCCACACCACGCACCACACACCACACCACGACGATACCACGCACCACACGCACCACACGCACCACACCACGCTCCACACGCACCACACCACGCACCACACCACGCACTACACACCACACACACCACACCAAGCACCACACCACGCTCCACACGCACCACACCACACACCACGCACCACACGAACCACACACACCACACCACGCACCATACAGACCACACCACGCACCACACGCACCCCACGAACCACACCAAGCACCACCCCACGGACAACACACGGACCACACGCACCACACGAACCACCACACGCACCACACGCACCACACGCGAAGCAACGATGTACAAACACATTGCCAACGAGACGCGGCCGACTCGTACGGAACACACAGGGACGACAAATTCTGTAAGTGAGCGCCTATTAAGGCTGGCGCAGCAATGCGGAGGGGGGGGGGCAGGGAGGAGTGTGCTCCACGCCACGCAATCCCAGCCAGTTGTGGCTCTCACGGCTGTAGGAACACATACCGCTAGTTTAAGGCCGAGTCGACCTAAGGGAGGACCAGGACAGGTCGCCACCAGGAACGGCACCCAGGTGGCCAGGGCGAGGGGCGCTGTGCGCTAGTTTAAGGCCGAGTCGACCTAAGGGAGGACCAGGACAGGTCGCCACCAGGAATGGCACCAGGTGGCCAGGGCGAGGGGCGCTGTGCGCTAGTTTAAGGCCGAGTCGACCTAAGGGAGGACCAGGACAGGTCGCCAGCAGGAATGGCACCCAGGTGGCCAGGGCGAGGGGCGCTGTACGCTAGTTTAAGGCCGAGTCGACCTAAGGGAGGACCAAGACAGGTCGCCAGCAGGAATGGCACCCAGGTGGCCAGGGCGAGGTGCGCTGTGCGTGACCACCGCGGCTCTCGTGCCGTGGAGCGCGGCGCCAAGTCCGCGATGGTTTCGGCTCGCGGGTGAAGTTCGAGAGCGACCGCCACGAGCTGTGTCGGGTAGCGGACGGTCTTGACGACACGAATTGATGCCAGATTGCTACGTGGGACTGACCCAAAATGATGCATCTTAAAGGGTGTATCTACAGATTCCAAGCGGGCCCCTTTTATAAACGGGGCTTGGCACTCAGCCGTCGTTGAGTGATTAATGAAGGCATTATTACTCACATGTATATAAATTCGTGCTCCAAACTCATAACTAAAAAGGCAATTAATGGAAACTCTCACGAGGGCCAAAGCCGCGAGAGGAGTAAATGCAAACGCAGCTGCATTCGCCCTCCAAGCCGCGCAATCTAATTAATAAACGCACACACTCGGAAATCGCCAAACAAATAATCGCGTTCCCGGCCGCTCCGATGGTGCGGGTCGGCGCGGCCGCAATGTTCAAGCCACGATCACCAAAGACGCCACGGGGTCGGGGGGGTCAGCCGTCGTGACCCCGAGAGGGCTTCTGTTAGCCCTGTGTCATTTTCTTCAGAGGAAGGGCAGGGGAGGTCAGTGGGGTCGGTGGGGTAGAGGGGGGGTGGGAGTCATTTCCGTGGCATTGGGACGTGATGTACCCCACGGCATGGGGGGTCACGGGGAGGCAGAATGTGGAGCATCGATTACCGCTGAAGATGCGAGAAGCAAACCCGCGGCACCGTTGTGTTGGATTGCACATCAGCCGTACGCCCAACGTTCGTAACGAATCTCTCGTCCCGAGCAATAATTCTAATAAATAAAATGACAATTACTTAGTTACCCAACGACAATTCTCACGAGCAAATCGAACGATAAAGTATTTAATTCAATTCGTTCTTCCATGCTGGTGGCGATGTAATACAGTAACATTTGGCTCGTCGCTAGGCGCTTGGACGCCGACGGCAATTTAATTTGTTTTGGCCAAGTCGGGTGATGGAGGTCCTTGGTGGCACACGTTTGGTCAAGATCATTTGCGTGGCCTAATCCGAAAATAAATCATGAATCGGAGCGAATGCATTTCCACTTTCCACCTTAATTGGGAAGCATAAAAGAGCGTAATAAAGTTGTTTTTATTTTGTGTATTTGGCCTCGGGTGCAGGTGCAAGATGGATGGATTGTTGCATCAAAAGGACGACTGCGAGGAATGGCAACAGTTTGGGTAGGCCTTCATCTAGCAGTGGTTAGATCATGGCAGGTAGCGATGATGATGACAAATCGAATATTTCTCAATGTTTTGAGCGACTGACAGAACGCGAAGAGGCGCCCTCTAGTGTTGGGTGAGAAAGGCCAATTGAAGGGACTCAGACGTAGTTCTGTGGCGTCAACTTCCAGGGCCGGTTGACGAAACGACAGCGAGGCTGTGCCTGCTGTAGCACAATTGTCACTAAAGTTTGAATGATATAATCAATGTCACTTCCACAGTGGTGGAAGAAGGAATGCCCTTTGGTGGGGTTTTAAGGGAGCTTTGCCTCAGCCCACAACTGGCAAAAGTTCAATAAATCCCTTACAGATGAAGCAATGACATCCATTCAATACCCGTCGGGAGCTTACGCCTAGCACTCCACTCGCAGTGGTTAATTACCGTATTGAAATCATCCCAAACGGCCAATTCCAACCACATTAACAAACACGGACAAGGGTGCAATAATTAACATAATATTTTATGTAATCACACGTTCACGATACACGCATAAAAGAAGCCAATGACCTACGGAAATTAGTACGTTATGAGTAAGTAAATGTTGCTGAGAATTAAACCTGAAGAAATCAAGTGGAGATGGGGCAGAATTACGCACGAGAATAACCCGACGAGAGATGAGAAACGGAATTAACAAACGAGCGGAGCCCGCGAGAGAAGGGCAAGCCGAGCCGAGAGAGACCGCAGAAGAGACGGTAGCAACGAGACAGGACCGTAGAGTTGGGAGGCCGCTAAAAAGTAAACTATTTTTATTTTACAAGGTAAGGCCCACTGAGCTATGTAGCTCTTTTTCAGAAGCGGACCTCGCCACAAATGATAGCTCAATAAAGCGGATTAATACGTGGAAATGTATTGCAGCCACAAATACTTTAATTGTGGATGTAAAAACCGGAGGACCTGGAGAAAATCCATGTGACCATGGCGAGAGAGACACGTAAACTCCAAGTATACAGCAGCAGGCGCTAGGGTCGGGATCGAGCCCGCGACCTCCTGTACACCAGGCGAGGGAGTTAACATCTCGCCATCGTGGCGCCCTGGACAGGAGCAACTGGGGTAAGGAAGGAATGTGAGGCCTTGTCCCAGCAATGAGACGTTACCGGCTGACAGCAACAAGCGCAGGATTTATTTACGATTCGCACATTCGGGTCGATTCCACGATGACGGAAGTACGGCGCGGGAAATGGAACCCAACCACAGACACGAAAAGCGCCATTTTGTTACCAGGGTGATTTCAAGGCAAACTCCACACTTTTCGTTGTAGAATATCTTAAGTGAGAGCGAAATGAAGGAAACTTCCCCTGTCGGTCTCAAAGACTCCACCAGCGACACAGCACTCACTTTGTGTCTTATCGCCGTCATAACACCGGTTAGTGCTGTACTAGTAATGAATTGGCACGTTCTGTTTACGTGACAACCCTTACTAGTTGGCTGTGTCGGGTGGTGGCGGGTTTAACGACACATTTATATTTACGCGATCTATCCCAAAAAGCCTCTTGAAATGAATCGGGTTATCAAGTAATTCATTTGTATTAGTTACAGAAATAAATCGATGCGACAAAGGTTTCTTATCTATGTTGTCCTTAATTATAAGTGTTGTGAGGTTACTCGTCAACACACTGCTGTGTTGAAGTAGTAACTAACTGTGTACCTGTCAACCCATACGGTTTATCCGTATTATTGGACAGGTGAAATTGATTTTTCAGGTTCATACGGCGTACAGCCGTTTCAATACGGGCAAATCTTTTTTTGTCTATTTATTGTGTTTCTCCCTTGTGGTGATGGGTCTTTGTAGGATGAACGTTGAGATGTGTAAGGGCACGGGGTGACCAATAAGGTCTGAATTGGTCTATAATAAGGTAGGGCACTGATTAGGGGTTGACAGGTATGTAGTAGCACGTTTTGTTCATGTGACGCACCTTACTAATTCCCTGTGTCGGGTGGTGGTGGATTAACGGCACATTTATATTTATGCGATCTAACCTAAAAACCTTTCTTATTGATTATTATTGCCTATGTGGTACACATTTCCGCTGCTCTGGCCCACTGACTAACAGCTCACAGCTCACCGTTCTCCATATTAGCAAATATCCAGCCTGCTTTGCAGTAAAGATTCATCGACTCGTCAATGTGAGTCTGTTCTAGTTTTTTCATACGCGTGTGAACCAACTACTTACGATTCGTGCTAGTTATACGCTAATGTTATTTTTCTTGTCATATCCTTCAACTTTATCCAGAATTTTACGAGGCATCCTTTCAGATCTCTCGCAGGGCAGTGTGGTTAACCCTTGGTGTTGGAGAACGGCCCACAGACGCGGACACTACAGAGCAACCTCTGAGACCCGCTTCAACCCTTCAACCGACCAATGGTCTACACATAGCAGAGGGCACCATTTTCCCACTCGCTCTGCATATGAAAGTGATGTTCGTCGCACGACGGTCAAACCGATATTCAACATTCTCGGAGCTGGGATTTAGGGAAACAAGGGCTACGATGAGATTGAATGGAGCAAACGAGGCAGACAGCACAGGCTGAAGGCACGATACGTAAAATACAAACGCCTCGCTAAGATTGAGATGGAAAACCATTGATTCTCGAATAGAATTGCAACGTGAATTGCGACAATTTGTCTAGCCGTGCGGGCGGGGCCGAGGGGGCAAATCGCCGCAGGCCTTAGCGATCGCGCTTTGTGTAGGCCGTACGTCACGGGCGACGCTTCGAGATGAGCGACTGCTGGTGGCAGCGGTGGGCGCGGTGTGAGCGGCGCGCGTCACTCGTAATTCCCGCGCACGCGCTTGTTTTCGGGGTCGAAGGGAGACTTGAGGTGCAACTTGGCCGGGTATTTGACGCCCATCCTCTCGATGGCATAGTCCCCGTTGCGCAGGAAGTCTGTGGTCACCTGAAAACGACAATCACGCAGTAGATAGTTGGTCACCACCAGAATCATCACGAATATTTAACCAAACTGAACTATGCAACTCTTTTTCAGAAGCGACCTGGCCACAAATGATAGCTCAACGAAGTGGCTTATCACGCAGACATGTATGGCAGCCACATACTCTAAATGTGGAGCGAAAAAACGGAGAAAAATCCACACGACCAGGGGGTAGAACATTCAAACTCCAAATAGACAGCAGACAGCAGGCATCAGGGTCAGGATAGAGGCCACGACTTCCTGCATACCAGGCGAGGGAGTTAACATCTCAAGACCGCGAGACGCTGAGACAGCACGGGTCCACACACAGGCGGAGCCGTGCTGTGAGGTGACCTCCCAGGTGACCTCCCAGCACAGAGGTGACCTCCCAGCACAGAGGTGACCAAGTGGCTCAGAGCAACGAGTGGAGATCACCGACACGCTTGAAGATGGTTTTCAGTCAAACGTAATTCTACAGTTTCTCAAGTGGCATGAGTCGATAGCCTCAACCCGGTCACCAACGACCACTTAACGCAAACACCAGAACATTTACCCCGTGTGTGCGAGTACAGCGGGGAGCAGGAGTGAAGTGGTTTGAACACTGTGGTATGAACCCGGACAACCGAGTCAGATTCACAGCCACTGGTGCAGAGTGTGAACATCAGCACTGGGGAGACAAAGGCGACGGGGCGTGGTGGCTGGTCACATCACCCTCTCATGCGCCGCTCCGGCCTTGTATGCACGTTGAACTTCTATCGCACCGTACGTCGCCAAACGTGCCAATCAGAGGTTAACACGACGCTCACTTACAGCACTTTCCCCAAGAGTCGGTGTAGGCGACACACGGGGGATCTTTGTCTTCATGTAGGCACAACATGTCTCTACATCTACTACACACATGCCTGCAAGCTGGGTGTAGCGCTGGTGCAGTGGATCGCTCACTGCGCTGCGAACTTGACTTCAAACCCTACGAGGCAAATTAGTTTGTTCTCCCCCCCCCTCTCCGCCACCCCCCTTCTCTGCTCTGGTTTTTAAGAAACAGAAGAGCTGGCGAGGCTGGAGACCGCGCTAAGCACACGCTAAGCACACGCTAAGCACACGCCACTCGACGATGTGCCTCGAGACAAAGGCGCGCCATGCTCGAGAAAGGCGACAGTCAGCGGCCAAAGCCGCTGGCGTTGAGCGGTGATCCACGGCCGAGGGTTGCAGCTGCTTTTGAGGCCGGCTGAAAAGAGGCCGGACGCAACAGCAGGGACTGAAGGGTGTTGGGCCGAGTGTCCTGTGAGGAGAGGCACACTCAAGTCACTCGCACGCGGAGGTGTTGACGTGAGGCTCGCATTCTCACACCTCCTGCTTGCAAGCACTTTTGGTGAAAATAATTACGATAATAAAAATATTTAATGTTTAGATCGCGTCGTTCCTGCCAAACTGCATCTCACACTGCTCTCGTCAAAGATCATGAACTATGATGACAAACTCCGGTCATCCTCGCAGCGGCTTTTGCCTGGCCATCGAATAAAGGTGGTCAATGCGTCGTACACTTTCAGATGCATTGGAGCTCTGCACTTTTAAATCTAGATTGAAAACTAATTTCTTTAGAACTGAGTTTTATTTTTAGTTTGTTGTCCTTCCTTTGCACCTCAGATTAGCACGGTTGGCTATGTACGGTGAAAAAGAAGTTCAACATACATACATTAATTAACGTGCTTATGTTAATTTACTTTTAAGAATGAAAAGCAATACAATAAACAAAGAAAGCATGCTGCACCTCGCAAGACACTGAGGGCACCCATACCAAGGTAAACTCCAGTCAACGTCGAAGTTAACAAAACTAGGTTTGTAGATGGGAACTCGAGCAGTGGAAGGGGAATTGATTCGGCGAATGTGGATTGGGATCGCGTTCCGCGCCGCGTAGGTGGAACTCCGACTCCACCGGCGAGCACTGAACCAGGGGTGGGGAACGTCCGCCCCGCGGGCCGTATGAGGTCCGCGGAATCATTTGGTGTGGCCCTGCCAAGGCAAACGCAAGCGGGACTCGAAATTCAATAAATCTAGGAGCAAACCTGGAAAAGGAGTTGCGAGTAGCAACATCATCAATACCAACGAACATCACACGCCTCGCCAAAGAGAAGCAGTTCCAGCCCATCGCGTTAGGGGCGAGTTAATTGAATGTTTGACTAAATCTAACGGGCTAATTTTAAATTCATAATTTTGTATGGCCCGCGAATGCAATTTTGTACAAAGGTGCAGCCCTGCAATGTTTTGCGTACGACGCTGCTGACGGTAAGGGGCCTCCACAAGCGGGAGCTGTAGAGAGCGTCTCCCCGTAGGAGGGAACTTTGGCCTACTCTTCCACGCTGGGCAGACATCATGGGGGGCAGGGGGGGGGATGAGCAAAACTAAAGGTACGTGTGTACAAACACAACTTGTGTGTACACGCACAACTTGTGTACAAACACAGTGTGTGTGTACACACACAGCGCGTGTACCTCGAGCTAAATCAGCGCACACCGCTCGGGCGTGACAGCTCATTCACAGGGACGGCTGCACGAGGCACGAGGTCAAACGCCGGAATTGAAAGGGCGGCGTGCATATTCAGTTAGAAACGTACCACACACACACACGTGTGTGTGTGTACAAGACAAAGGCAACGATCTCCACCCCCCGTGGTGCCGACAGAGGCTGTTGGGGCGAGCGCTGCCAGTACGCAGCTGTGGAGGCTGGCACGGCACACGAGGGGGTGGGTGTTGGCCAGTCACCGTGCCCGGGCCGCCTTTGTCTCCCCCAGTGCCGATGTTTACGCACACCCCACCAGCGGCTGATTTTCGGCAGAGTGGACCTAGGCAAGGCTCAGGACCAGCGGAGACATTCTCTGAGCGGGATGTGACATCGGCTCGCCTGGGCTGCAGCTTGGTGTTGCGCCCGAAACGTCGTGATTTAATTTAGTTGTTTTATTTTATTTTTTACCTACGTGACTTTACCGAAAAAACCAAAGAGTATGAATCCTTGCAGTCGCGAAAGCTTCAAATCTAGAATTATTATAGTTTCTTCATTACTTCATTACCCGCGATCCGCAAAGGCGGTGGTATTGATTCTGTTGCACGGTGCCTGTTGCTGTACTGCACTGACGGGGCCCCACGGAGTGATCTGAGCAATGACAACAGGCAACCCAGCAGACATTTGTGTAGCGGATTTCACATAGTGTGCGTGATGTAACAAGTGCCGTTGCATCACGGCGCACTGGGGCAGTGGTCGTCTCCTAGTCACACCCCGGATGAACCAGTGGTGGAAATTCCACAATTCTATGACTGCGGTGAGTCTCTCTGTAAGACAACCACTGTTGACTTTCTCACAAAGTGGTACTAATTTTATAGACCCCAAAATGATGATGGGTTGAGTCGACCCCTCCCCTCACCCCCAACTAGAATTTCAGCTCACAACCTTCCAATTGTGAGTCGTTCACTCTGCCGCTGAGCCACCGGGCTACAAGTAACAGCGGAAGGCTAAAGCCGCGATTTGACCCCAGGATCGAGGTGATGCAACCTCTGTCCCTGGCGTGGCCATTGTGAGCTCCCCGTGTGGGAGACTCAGATCCAGGCCTTGAACCCAGGATCGCAGCGGTGCCATTTAAAAGTCTGACAGCCTTGAGTGAGCCCCCTGGAGACGCCCAACAGACCCAGGGCTACAACTTATTCCTCGGCATCGCTGGCTCAGCACCGGGCGGTGGTGGCGACGCACGTGGCCTGCAATCCAGCACTGTGCAGGCAGCGGCGAGGGTTGGTGGGTCATCCGCACAATGGTGACCAAATGTTGCGAGACTCTCTCCCCGTGGGTATCGAGGTGCCAGACCGTTGCTTGCCAGCAGAATGCGGCACAGCAAAGGGTGGACTGATGTCACCTGTCCCTTCTCTGTGGGATGGAGCAGGGGTGGCCAACCTCTAATAATCAAAGAGCCAAAGCATACCCAGGAGTTCTGAAAAGAGCCAAGTGTATATATATTTAAATGTGTATATATATATAAATGTGTGTGTATATTGACAGTTTTCGGCACAGCACGGGAGACACTCACTATTGTTTGCTACGACTGTGATAGTGAATTCTACGTTACGCCCCTTCGATAGAGCCGCATGTGGTGATTAAAGAGCCGTATGCGGCTCGGGACACGCCACTTGGCCACCGCTGGGATACAGTGTTGCCCCCTCGCATTCGTGAGTTTTCTCCGGGTGCTCCGTTTTCCTTCCACGTATGTAAACACTTATTAATTGGCCAAAACATTTTACCATGTAGACAACTGCATTGTTGTTGCCGGCTCCCTGGCTGTCAGCCTTGTCTTATGAGAGATGCAATTTACATGAACGAGGCTATGGTATGTAAAATGAATCATGAGATGTTTAAACATTCATGTATTACCTCTGAAAAAGCTGTTAATGAGCCCTCTGAGAGAGAGATGCGCAGACTCAGTGCGTGAACTCGGAATCTCATCTGCGCCGACTTCGAGTCTCTGACACAGCCATTAACGTGTCTCCGATGAGACGCTCAGCCACCTCACATCTTTGCAAATGTCCGAGCCAATCAGCCGCCAGCGCTCTAATGGGACGCTTAAAGAGTCACGGTTAATATCGTCAAGACAGTTTATGTAAAATGCGTTTGTAGGCAATAAGTAATTTTGCGGAATGGGGTGAAATTAAATTGGATTTTGATTACGAGGGGCGGCATCTGCTTTTTGTGTCAGGCCAGACGGCGCCGGTATAATACGTAAACTCGGGGTCAAAGCGCCTAATTGCTTCCCAAGGAAATGCATCGCAAACACGTTCAAAAAGAAACGAATCATCGCAAAATGTCTGATTAAAACTCTTGCCCTTTCGCATCGAAATAAAATCACGCTTTCCCCCGGTGAACACGCAACACGATTCTTCAGTGAATTTGTGTTTGTGGGGTTTTTTCTTTCCCGGGATTACACACAAACGTGTGGACCGTTTCATCGT